AAGATAACATATATTACGTATTCCATATTTTAATATTCATTGAACTGAAGACAAGTCATGATTGGGTTTTTATTAATACGGGAGTAGTTTGGTAGCACATCTTTAATATTTTTTTTTAAGTTTCAAAACGTAATAAAAATCTCTTTCTTTTGTTTTACTTTTTACAATAATATATTTCGTATCTGCTCTGAATTACCTGTTATTACTAAGTACCTAGGCATTGTACCGTATTTCAAAGTCAGCACGTAATTTTTTTCCTTTTCTATTACTTTTATAACTTAACAGTGAATGACTTTTAAATATGTATCTCAACGAAAGAACATATCTACAAACTCAATGTTACCCTAATTCAAACTCAGTTACATATAAGACAAGACATGTTTTTGATCAAATAAGTTTTCCCAATAATTTGCTTGACTAGTAGACTTGACTGGGAAGCAATAATCTTCAGAAGTTATTACTGAAACTTTGTAAACAAGGAAGTCGGGTAAGTATTGGTTACTTTCGGAAAGATTACAAATAATACATGTTTGACTTGTATCGAAATAATAATCTTTATTTTTCCCTGTGTTTATAATATATTATGTAACCTCAAAAGATAATAAAAATAAACTAATCGGGTAATTAACAAGTTGTTAAATTCAATTCTATTTTCCAATTTTCAATAACAACAGTTTTTTTTTTCTTTTACTTTATTGTGTGTGATGTCACAATAATTGTTTATTTTTTAAATTCAAAAAAGTACCTAAGTGTATAATATATACTATATGATTGAAAATAATTTTTTGACTAAGTTGAGCATTCAATTTTGTAAAAAAGTGGCCTGGAGGTGGTTTGTTGAATGGACCTGGTTTATCCTTATAATCTCAGCATATTATGCTGAGATTCAATTTAAGATGGGATGGCAAACGAGCAGACTCTTCACCTTTTGGTAAGCAATCAGCGTCAATTATTAAGCATACCCACAATACCAGTAGGGGTTCCTAGTGCGTACCTTTTATGAGCTAGAAATACCAGGATTGGGAATTAGGGAAGTTAAGACTAGGAAAGACGATTAGGACGATTAGACTTTAAAGGTTTTTTTCAAAGCACTTTTGGCCTTTGGTCATTAAAAAACATACAAATGCACAAGATTGCTTGGTTAGATTATTTAGAATCGCAAAAACTGGTTAATACCGTATTTAAGTCTAGTAAAAGTATTCTTGAATATTAATTACTATTTAAAATATCACTGAGCATGACCTTAAAATATCAATACTCAAATGGATTACTTTAATAAAGCAATTAGCAGTGCTCCCAATTAAAAACTCGTCAGCTAAGAGCACTCTGACGATCAAACAATCGGGAGAAACATTTTTCAAAAATCTTTGAAATTGTTTCCATGAAATTAAGAACGAAGAAAGAGATGGAATTATAATAACTAAACATATAAATGATTATCATATTACTTAGTATTTTCTTTGTATGAAATATTTTTCGTATCATTGGTATGCAGGAAGATATTTCTATAGGAATTTGTAGCACCTATGTAGGTACTTATACTTTATAAATGCCTAGGAGCTGTTCATAATATGTACATAATTATGACAATAAGTAAAGCGTGGGAGCGCCATGCTTCGGCATGCATGGGCTGGTTCGAGAGAGATACCACGGACTCACAAAAAACGGCGTGAAACAATTACAGTGTTTTGCCATGTGAATGAGGCTACAGGAGCTCTAAACCTTCTTCCTCTCTCTCAATCCCTAAATCTCGTCTAGTATTGTAGGCGTTGCGATTGCTTACCATCAGATAATCCGTCTCTCTTTTGCCATCCTATCAAATAAAAAATGATATTGAAATGTATTTTTTTTTATTTATTGACACCCTTATTTCGAAATTGTTTAAAAAGTTCAATAATTTAAAATGCAATAAGTATCTACTAAGCTAAAAAATGTAAAATCTATAGTAACCTAAATGAAAACAAAATATATATATATATAAAGAATTTCCCCCGAATATGGGTAAATTTTAACGCACCCTGGCAACACATGCGCGTGGGCAGCGGCATTTGTTTGTATTAGTCAATCTGTTTTGAGTGTGGTAACCGTCGATTCACGCACCGTTCCTTACCGCTCGATTTCATAAAAATATTTCAGATAGCGGAAGCATGAATGAAAAGTTTTCAGATCTAAGAATTATTTTTGATTTATTTGACGGTGTTTATCATTTTATTTTGGATTGAAGATGTGATTTCTTTGATAATAATTAATAGATTATTGCATCTGCTTCGTTTAAAATAGGTGCAGATATAAATTTAATTGGATAGGCGTGTTTAGTTTGGCCTCTTTAATATTAATTTAATTTTCTAATAAGTAAAACGAAGATTTTATCTAAATATATTGATTAAAATTATTTGCTTTGAATTTTCAGCATAATGTTTTGCGATATTTAAAAAAAAAATGATAAAAAATATTTAAAAAGGTCTGTTTTATATTTTTTATGACAAAACCTACATACAAATAGCTCACAAAACCGCTTCTCACTCGTACTCTCCACAATTTTACAAAGAACGAATATTGTAACTAAAAATAGATTTGTACTTCTTTTAACGTCAATTTACTTTACGATGAATGGTACCCAGACACGTTATAGTAATGTTATAAGTAACATAGTAGTTAGACAATTAGTAGCAATAAAGTTTAATAACGATCTTACAATAGATTCATCATTCACACGGTTTTGTACAGAAAACGAAACACAACCCGCTACAGAGCTATTTGTTAAAAGGAAAACGAAAGTACAAATCATAATGAATCTTACAAATTAAACAATAAGAGGCACTTCGGAATGAATATTTGTATGAATTCTCTATTATGACAAGAGGATTTGCGTTGTTAGAAATTTACGAGTAGGTACACTCGAATTAAGCAACAGTAAAATATTTTGATAATATTGTTGTGGATTAAAATTTCATTGGAGATTCTAATAATTTCGTCAGCGTGGAAACAAAAGATTAAGATATTTATTATGGATTAGAAGATAATAATATTATGGACGCAAAATAGAAACTATGTGAAGCGTATAATAATACTTTGCGTAATAGGTTCAGAGTTGTTAAAGGTAAACAAGTTAGTAATGTTACTGAATTCAATACAAGTGTAAAATTATCAGCAATTATTGACCACGTAATACAAGGAAACGTTGTAGTTTAAAAATATTATTACAATAGTAGTGACTATGGTGTCATTTATTATATTGTTTCGTTTGTTCAAACCGTGAATAATGTTGAATATGATGTTAACCAAGGGGTCAACATTTATTAGGCAATTGTTGAATACGATAAAGAAAACCAAATACAGGGAGTAGATACGGTGATTGCAACATTGACGTTTTTGATGTAAAATATTTGTTAAGTAAGAAAAATGGTTTTGATGTGAATAACGAAATTATCAGACCAATAATAATACAATAAAAACACGCAATTTTGTATTGAGATTAGATTCTATTAGGTCTATTTTTTTCACTGAGTGGTTACAAGAAATTTTTGATGTGTTTCCCAATTTGAGACTTGTTTGGCATCGGGAAAATTTAATGATTAATTTTTATAGTAATTTTTCTGGTTCTCTTATATACGAAAATTTTATGTTTTGAAATTAAAGTTAAATAAATATCAACATAAGAACTGGTGACACCACAATCTCAGGATGGTTAAGCCAGTAACGTTACCTATGGAATGATGAAATTTTCTGTAGTGTGGTGAAAAAATGATAAACTTAATTATTCTATAACTGAACAAAGACAGATTAAAATCAAGCTCATCAATACATTTCCTAGCAAAACCAAGATGAACCCAGAAAACATGATAAAGGTTTGGATAGTGATAACGGTAAATTTAGTGCAGTACTAAGTTAATTTATTTTCACACGGTATGTAGTCAAATTTTACATTAGATTTTTACACACAATTGTAAACCAAAATCTCTTCATTTGAGATACTTAATCATGGTGAGTTTCTCATGGAATATTATTAATTTTGGTTTTTACTTAGTGTCTGCTTTGATTCAGTTTTATGTTTGAGAATAAGATAGGAAGATTATCACTGAATTGGCCAACATCAGCACGATTGCCCAAAACAGAAATTTTAGTACCATTTTACTGGGATTATTTAAAACTTACACACCAAAATGGTACATCTCCAATTTTCTCGTTGTCATAAAAAATTCCGCTTATGCATTAACAACAAAGATTTTAACAACATCACACTGTTCGTACAATACAAACACTAATTTTTATTCAACAAAATGCGACTGCTAGCAAAAGAAAAGCTTCCTAAAATGACGTCATTCATCTGTCATAAAAACCTGACAGCTGACAGTATTACTAACTAGTTAATTGACAATTAAAAACATACCAAATGCAGTCAATGAGAGGGTACAAAATGCCACTAGAATGTAGTAGAATACATTGATTTCACAATGTTTTGTGGCACGCGTATAGGTTAGAACATTAATATGGGGGAATACCAAGCAGGTACACTTAGTAAGGTGCCTATACCGTGTATAAAGTTATTGATTACTGCGGCCCCTACAATTGAAATTACTGGAACTCAAACGTTGAACCCGGCCCGGAATAATAGCGATGACACGTTAACCATTACAGAAATTAACAAAAATAGGTCGAATATGACACATTTTAATTGACGCAAACGGTAAATTGGATAGAATAGTGCTAGAACAATGATAATCGTCTATAACTGATATTTTGTTGGAAAAAAACAAATACGAAAATATGAAATGGAAAATACACGAAAACCACGAGGCATCTAATCACATCGATTAAATAAAAAAAACAGCATACATAATCCCTTAATCGCTGCACGCCCTCCACGCTACTTTATACCTTTGAACCGTTGTTACAGGCACTATTATCCCTTGCACACACTCAGGGCGACTCCCGCTCCCTTGCACTACACATCATTTTACACTCACTATCTAATATTTTTAAATAAAGAATTTACTCACGCTGCAATGCTTTTTGAAAGCGGCCAGCGTTCCATAGACGCTTGGTACTTCATGTTTTCGATCTGCTTTTTAAGTGCTTCCTTGTCCATGGCTGCAAGAATACTAGGGTCCATCGCGCAGAATCTGTGGTGTAAAGCACGCACACATAGTTAGTACACTGGTAGTAGTGTGTGTAAGGTACGACTCGAGTACAGTCGCGTACACAGTGGTCTCAGTTTCAATTAATATTATTGTATTAAGGTGTTTGAGAGGTATTGTGGATGGTGATTGCTTTTATTGGCAGTGGCTGAGGTAGTTGTTTCTATTTTAATTGTTGAAGCTGTAACTTGAAACGGGTTCCGATTGTTTAGTTTAGTAAATTGATTTAAATACTTTAGTGTAGAAATCAAGATTTGTTTTTTTTATTTTAATAAATAGTGATATAAATGTTTTTTTCATATTATTGTTTTTATTTGAAATCACGTCTTACTTTAAAAAAATGTTTACTTTAAAATTAATAAGCTCGTTCGTAGATATTACATATCTACGAACGAGCTTATTAGCTTAGTACATTGGCAGATAAGGTTTAAGGTAATAATATAAAAATTGATTCAGTACATACATAGTAGCTATTGTCATATATTTTTGAAAGAATCCAAATCTTTTATAATCAGATCTTGGTTACTCTCTCTTAACTAAATCAATATTTCATGTTATTGTTTGTACACAATAAAAATCATTTTGTCAACCGCAATATAGATATAAATAAATGCCTTAACAAGTCAAAAAAAAAATATTCGCATAATTACAATAGTTATATATTAATCTTACAAAAATCTTCTCAAAATCCTAAATAAAATAAACAAACAAATTGCGCTTATTAACAGTCTCTAAAAGCAAATATTAATATAACTCCATATTTGCATTTTAATTTATACCACCTAATCTTATTAAGGAACCAAACAATTTGTTTTACCCAAACACTTTTGTTGATGATTGTAGTATAGCTCCGTCTCTTTCGCACGCTAGGGGAAATGTGTGCATGTGTGTATCCGTGTGCTTGGTGTGTAGGTGATGCGCGCGCAGAACTTCAGTTTCTATGACAACCCCTTTAGGAACACTGAAGTTAGCTTGCGCGAAGTTAGTTAGTGTGCTCGTAACTGGAATTGTACTTTATTTTTATACAGTTATGGTTCATTTTTGTATGTTTCGCGAGTTGTAAAATTAATGAATTAAAACGTAATGGTCGGTAGTTCTTGGCGTTTTGTACACCATTATTCTTTGTTTTCGGACGACTGTCATAGAGGGCTCTGGGTGTATTGTGTTTTATCGCTCCCCGCTATTCCTTAACGAGGCAAGCAGGAGTGAAGTTTATTACAACCAATTTTCGACAGCTATGTTAGTTTAAAAATTAAACATATTTCAATCTCGCTTTTAAGTTATTAATGATCACACATCGAGTGAGAATTTGAAATAGGTACGATACGTATTTTGTAAGCTTGGGAATTGAACCTTGAACCTCGATCTGAAACTATTTTCTATACATAGGAACTTAATTGTTCGCGCAACTGATGGTTTTTTCAGAGCATTAACTTGCAGTGGTCACAAAAACTATATATATTAAGAAGAATTTGCCTATTCACCCCACTTGATATACTTAACTCATGTAGTTAGCACCCATTGAAGTAATTAATTAAGTAAAATAGTTTTCGATTAGTTTTGCTGAAGTCCATCCACATCAAGCCTGGTTATGCAAACTAATCATTAGAATACTTTTAATATACCTTACAAAAAATAACCTATGTATTTTTCTAACAAGCTATTTAATTAAACACATTTTAATAACGAGGGATTCAAACCCGTGACCTTGAGGATAGCACCCCACAGCTCCCAAGGGTTTAATTTAATTAATCATGCCATGGGTTTGGCGTGAAAATGAGACTCCTTAGCAAGATGAAAGGGTTAGAAGATATTTCCTTCTCTTTCACACACATCTTTACAGTCATTTTTTTAATTGATAAATATGTACAAGCAGGAAGTATGTTCTTATTTTAAAAATAGTTAAATTGTGTGTGTCATTAACGTTTGTTAGTGTGTGTATGTGTAGATTTTCCTTTTCCAAATCCAAACTTATCTAATATTATAAATTCGAAAATAACTCTATCTGTCTGTCTGTCTTTTCTTCACGCCTAAACTACTGAACCGATTTCAGTGAAATTAGGTACAGACGTAGTTTAGAACTCGAGAAAGGACATAGGATAATTTATATACCAAAAATCTGCAGCAGATCACTATTCTACGCGAACGAAGTCGCGGAGAAGGCGCAAAAGCTAGTTAAGTATATATATGTAACCAAATCAGCATCATCATTATCAGCCTAAAGTGCTTTGTTTGATAGTATTAGTGTTTGGTAGGTTTTATTATACTTATTAGATTATACTTTTTTATTGTTCACTACACTGCTACATATCTGACATTTTACACCAAAATAGTCTGAATAAAAAAAAACAATTACGTGATCTAATAAACCATTGTAGTATACAACTACCTATTTAAAATGAACCTCTTTCTTCCTACATTGCGAAACTGCGTACAAAAAAAAATTAAACAAATTAAACAGACATTGACACTAACTAGGCATAGTAAACAATCATTCGTTAAATTAAAAATAACAACCAATTTTTTTGTTGAACTTATTCAACAAACCTGAGACCTTTATGTCAATAGCCCAATCCCAATTAAAAACAAGCAGTAAATTATAAAAATATTCACCGTATGTATGTAAATTAGAAACGTGAAATCTTGAGATGATAATTAATTATAAACACAATGGGTGAGATAACATTTTTATTCTTGTTCAAACAATAGGAGCGTCGTTACGACGAAAGTGGGAGTCGAGCAGCGAGCTTGGTGGTCTGATAAAAATACAGCGGGTAATAGGATTTTTTTATATATAAAACGTTGCCTCACTGTAGAAATTTCTTCTGGGTCGTGTAGATGCGTTTCCCATCGCAAGCCTATAAGTGTCCACTGCTGAGCAAAGGTAGGGTAAGGTTTTCTATGTAATAGGTCGGCAAACGAGCAGACGGATTACCTGATGGTAAGCAATCAGCGCCGTTCTTGGACACGCGCAACGGAGGAGTTACGAGTGCGTTGCCCACCTTTTAGGGATTTGGAGATTTAGGGATTGAGGAGGGATTGGGGGAGGGGAAGGATTGGTGTGTGTGTCTGTGTTTGTTTCAAGCAGGTTTTCTGTGAGGCCGAGGTATGACTCCGGTCGAGCCGACCCAATCGTGCCGAAGCATGGATCTCCCACACTTCTCAAACAGAGAAGGTTTGCGCTTTAATTGCCATGCTTGCTCAATGTGGATTGGCGATTACAAACTTAGAATTAAAACTTAGAAGTCCAGGTTTTTTCACGACGCTTTCCTTCACCGCATGCAGTGGTGTTTAAATAATCATAAAAAGTAGGTACATATAACTCGGAAAAAGTCAGTTTGGTACTTGCCAGGTTACGAACCTGCACCCCAATGCCTAAAAAAGCGACCTATGCTTAAATCTTTAAACTACGCATCGGATTTTGTTTAACGGTTTTTATGTATAATAATAACATCAATTAAATTGAGGAGAAATTTAGTATCAACATTGCACCCGTGCTAAACGGGGATAAACATGAAAACATTATTATGTATGTTTACTGACTAGACTGCACGGTTGGCGCGGTGGCTGGCCAACTGGCTGCCGTGCAACGTGTCGCGGGTTCGATTCCCGCACGGAACAACTCTTTGTGTGACCCACAAATTGTTGTTCCGGGTCTGGATGTCATGTGCATGTGAAATTGTATGTTTGTAACTGCACCCACGACACAGGAGAAAATCCTAATGTGGGGCAACGTTTTCTTAAAAAAGAGAGAAAGAGAAAAGAGAAAGAGAGTTTCATTTTTATTTATTTATCCTTTATATACATTGCATTACGGAGGACTTAATGCTAGAAGCATTTTCCGCCAGTCAACCTTTTGGTAGTGCATATATGTACAGTAATTTAAGAAGTTACGTGGGGTGGAAATCAATTCTAAGTTACATACATAAAAATAATATACGTATATAAATATATAATTGCGTTTCATTACATTAAATATAAACACTAATACAAATAATAATAGGTCTTAACCTATGAAATTGCCGTTCTGCAGTACTGGCCATTTCAAATCAAAATAGTTTTTGTTAGCCTAAGGCTAATTAATTTTGTTTTAAAAACATGGGATTCTTTTTCCAAAAGTAGTCATTTGTTTATTGATTAGTGTTACATTTTCATCGCATTTCAAATCAAAAGATTCGTTTAAATTTTTTCATGCAAAACGGCAATTTCATAGGTAAAAAGAAATATTATAAATAAATACTAATAATACAATGTGGACAATTTATAATGCAAGTGGGGAAACTACCATCTTCTTTCTTATGAGTACACACGCGTGATCTTATTTACGTAAGTTGAAAACGAATCGAATGCAGTTATTTAGAAGACGATCGAGTTTATTGAGGAGATATGCTTTGCATTTTTTGTTTCTATGATATAATTTAATTGTTTCTACCTATATAAACTCTTTTTCAAAGACTCGACTCCTCAATGCGCAATGCGGGTCTGTTAAACAAGGGTATACCTTCAACTATGTATATCCCTAAGAGAATTAAGTAATTCAATGCTATAAAATTTTATAGACAATACAGCAACTCTGCTTACCCTGTAGTGACCATACAACGGAAGGACAAGACTTGATCGTTATCAAGGGACACGTTACCGATAACGCACGTCAACCTAACCCTACATGACCTAATTCCATTTTCAATTTTTAACTTTAATTCAAAAATGATAAGATTTAAAATAAATTGCATTGATGGTGTCAGAGTGTATTTTAATGAGCTTTCTGTGCCTTAGTTTTGTGACGTTTTGTTACGGAAATCATTGTGAGTGGCTTTGTATCAAGTTGTATATTTAAATAGTTTTTTTTTGTTTATGTTGCCAAAATTGTAGAAATGTCTTTTGTTATATCGTAACGATTAAAGTACGGTACGTTGAATACATTTTTATTAACTTACTGCATTACGAATGTGTGTTGCTAGTTGATTAATTATTGATTTTTTTTT